TGCATTAAAAAACAAACATGCTGGGTGTAGCAAGAAGAAATAATGTTCAGGAAGGCATGGAGAAAGGTTCAAACATAAACACTGCTGTTAATACTAAACTTTAAATAGGGAGAAGGTGTAGGCAAAATAAGACATTTAAAACGTCCTAAACTATGTTTCATGAAACACAAATGCAAAATGCCCTCAGGTCAAAGTGTCCAATAACTTTGGGAACTGCTGCTTGTTATTCCCCTCTCTTGGAGATCTGCAGAAAATGTAGCTTACTGAAGGCTAATGCAATGAAAGGATACAGCTAGAAAACAAAGCATATTATATTTGTGAAACTCATAATAGCATAATTGATTCTAGCCTTAAAACTTACTGCACACAGGATATAAAATCAATGCACAAAAAGCAGTTGCATTCCAATACACCAATAATGAAGCAACAGAAAGAGAAATCAAGGAATTTATCCCATTTACAATTGCACAAAACCCATAAAATACCTAGGACTCTAACAAAGGGGTGAAAAATCTATACACTGAAAATTATAGAAAGCTTATGGAAGAAATTGAAGAAGACACATAAATAATGGAAAAATATTCCATGCTCCTGGATAAGAACAAATATTGTTACAATGTCAATACTACCCAAAGCAACCTATGTATTCAATCCAATACCTATCAAAATACCACCAACATTCTTCACAGAGCTAGAACAAACAATCCTAAAAGTTGTATGGAACCAGAAAAGACCTTGAATAGCCAAAGCAATCTTGAAGAAAAACCAAAGCAGGAGGTGTCACAAACCCAGACTTGAAGCTGTATTACAAAGCTATAATCATTGAGGCAGTATGGTACTGGCACAAAAACAGACACTCAGATCAATGAAACAGAAGAGAGAACCCAGAAATGAACCCACAAATGTATGGTCAACTAATCTTTGACAAAGCAGGAAAGAATATCCAATGGAATAAAGACAGTCTCTTCAGCAAGTGGTGCTAGGAAAACTGACAGCATCATGCAGAAAAATGAACCTGGACCACTTTCTTATATCATACACAAAAATAAACTAAAAGTGGATGAAAGACCTAAATGTAAGATAGGAAGCCATCAAAATCCTTGAAGAGAAAGCTGGCAAAAACCTCTTTGACCTTGGCCACAGCAACTTCTTACTCAACACGTCTCCAGAGGCATGGAAAACAAAAGCAAAAATGAACTTTTGGGACCTCATAAAAATAAAAAGTTTCTGTACAGTGAAGGAAAAAATCAACAAAACAGAAAGGCAACCAATGGAATGGGAGAAGATATTTGCAAATGACATATCAGAGAAAGGGTTAGTATCCAAAATCTATAAAGAATTTATCAAACTCAACACCCAAAGAAACAAATAATCCAGTGAAGAAATGGGCAAAAGACATGAATAGACACTTTTCCAAAGAAGACATGCAGATGACCAACAGACACTTGAAAAACTGAAAAAAATCACTCATCATTAGGGAAATACAAATCAAAACCACAGATACCAAATTAGATACTACCTCACACCTGCCAGAATGGCTAACATTAACAACTAAGGCAACAACAGATGTTGGCGAGGATGAGGAGAAAGGATCTCTTTTGCACTGCTGGTGGGAATGCAAACCGGTGCACTTACTCTGGAAAACAGTAAAGATGTTCCTCAAAAAAATAAAAATAGGACTACCCTACCACCCAGCAATTGCACTACTAGGTATTTATCCAAAGGATACAGGTATGCTGTGTTGAAGGGACACATGCTCTCCAATGTTTATAGCAACACTATCAACACTAGCCAAAGTATGGAAAGAGCCCAAATGTCCATAAATGGATGAATGGATAAAGAAGAAGTGGTATACATATACAATAGAGTATTACTCAGCAATCAAAAAGAATGAAATCTTGCCATTTGCAACTACGTGGATGTAACTAGAGGGTATTATGCTAAGCGAAATTAGTCAGAGAAAGACAAATATCATATGATTTCATTCATATGAAGACTTTAAGATACAAAACAGATGAACATTAAGGAAGGGAAGCAAAAATAATATAAAAACAGGGAAGGGGACAAAACATAAGAGACTCTTAAATATGGAGAACAGAGGGTTACTGGAGGGTTTGTTGGAGGGGATGAGCTAAATTGATAAGGGGTATTAAGAAATCTACTTCTGAAATCATTGTTTCACTAGATGCTAATTAACTTGGATCTAAATTTTAAAAAATAAGTTAAATTAAAAAAAAAACACTGCACACAAAATATAGATACAGACTATCTCCTTAAAAAACACAGAACTGGATTTTACTAGATGGCTCTAACTTTTCACATTGCTATTATAGAGAAATATTTTTTCCTTTAAGGGTTTAAGAATAATACTAGAGAACAAGAATATAATTTAAATTATTAGATTATTGCAACTCAAGAAACCTGAGATAATTTTAGATGTATTAAAAATAGTGAGCAGGTTTACATCTAAGGAACTGTTGTGGGGGAAAAAAGTAATTTAAAATATACACATTTTAAAATGATAAAAATTGGGGCGCCTGGGTGGCTTAGTCGGTTAAGCGTTCGACTTTCGCTTAGGTCATGATCTCGCGGTTCGTGGGTTCGAGCCCCGCGTCGGGCTCTGTGCTGACTGCCAGCTCAGAGCCTGGAGCCTGTTTCAGAGTCTGTGACTCCCTCTCTCTCTGACCCTCCCCTGCCCGCGCTGTCTCTCTCTCTCTCTCTCTCTCCTAGAAATAAATTAAAAAATATATTTAAAAAAATAAAATAAAATAAAATGATAAAAATTATTACAAACCATTAAAAATATTAAATGGAAGTCTGAACAGTAGTGAGGCTCCAAGCTACCCATGATGATCCATGCCTCATGCTATTTATGCCCTTGTTTAGTACTCTCCCATGCTGATTCATGATACTGTTGACCAATAGAAAATAGTGGGAGTGACTGAATTTCAAGGCTAGGTTATAAAGAACACTACAACTTCCACTTGGGGTGTTTGGGTTCTTGGATTGCTTACTCTGGGTGAAGTCAGCCACTTGCCATTAGGATGCTCAAGCCCCTCATTGGAGAGACCCCGGTGGAAGGAGCTGAGAAGTCTCTGAGACCAAGAGCCACCATTAAATTGCCAGCCAACTGAGTGAGCCACCTTACAGCAGATCCTCCAGCCTATGACATACTTTGAGATGACCACAGCTGTTGGAGAGACCCCGAAGGGAGAACTGCCTGGTTGAGTCCTTACTTAATCCCTGGCCTAAGTAACAATGGAAGGTAATACAAGATTGTGATTTTAAACCACTGAATTTTGGGGCATTTTTAAAAGCAGCAATAGGAAACTAACATATAGAGTTCTTTTAGAAAACAAAATTGTGCTGAATGATACTTTGTCGAGTGCTGTACTTTGCCAATTTAGCATTAAAGTTTGTAAAGGCATTTTATTTGCCTTCCAAATTAGGTTATACTATGCTCTTCAGAAAGAAACCTCCAAGGTTTTATCCTGCTAATATGCAGGGAGAAAAAAAAAATTAAGATTTTGTGATAAAACATCCCAGATACTAATGTATAACCCTTCTTTAGTGGAGGCAAATTGTCACAGAAATAGGTCTTTAAGATAGTAGACTATCAAATCATGAATAGGCTAAGCCTTCTCTGGTGATGAATATGACATAAAGGCTTTGAAAACTGTGTTACCCCCTGTGAATGAAGTGAAAAATTTCACAAGGTGAAGAGAATGAATCTCACACTCTGCAAGGTCTTCCCCTTAATAGCATCCACCAAATTCTTTCCACTCCTATTTTTTATATAGACTACTCCATTAGGGATAATAGGGGCCTGAGAAAGAATATAAATTCATTCCCACAATCCCAACACTTCACTTTGTCTCAACCTTGTTCCTCACTCTTACCTTATGTTTCTAACAGAGAAATAGTGTCTTGGATTTTTTTTTTCCCTTTCTCTTTCTTCCCCACTCCCAACCACTTGAGTAAGTCTTATTTGAGTAAGAGCATCGCTCCAAATCAGAGACACTTGGAGGAAAATGTGAAAGAGCTACAATCTATAAGTAAAATGTACCAATGGATAGTAATATGTGACTAACTTTTCAATATATTCAGTTTTATTTATTTTAAAAATAGACAGCCCACAAACAGACCCACACAAATATGGTCAAATGATCTTCGACAGAAAAGTAAAGGCAACTCAGTGGAGATGGGAGAGTCTTTTCAGCAAATAGTGCTGGAATAACTAGACATAATATTGAAAACAAGAAAAATAGTTTAGACACAGTCTTTATAACTTTATCCCCTGTCTTTTACCCCCTTCCAATATGTTCATCTGTTTTGTTTCTTAAATTCCACATATTAGTGAAATCATATGGTATTTGCATTGTTCAAACAAGCGAACCATTAAGAAGGGGCTGAAGTGAAAGCTTGGTCATAAAGTCCATTTTTATCTGAAAACTAAAAAAATTCTTTGTATCTAAGGAACAAAAGCAGATGTGGAATGTACTTGGTTATAGTGCTGAGTAGAAAACATACACATACACACATACACACACACAATTTCTGTTTATCTGGTGTGGAAAGTAGAGATTGGGTAATATATCTTGAAGCAAAAGTAGTGAATAGATACTGCTGAGCCACAAAAAGCCAAACATTCTCAGATCTTCTAATGCCAAAACTGTCAGAAGACAACAGGGCCAACCCTTCAGAATATAAGATGTGACAATAAAAAATTATGTGGTTGTGGAAAGTGCCAAAGTAGCATAAAATCCTTATGGTTCTCCTCTTCCTTCAGATTTCCCTGGGTACTTTATTTCCCAAATTAGGACTAATGAGGAAGAAAATTGGAAGGTTACTAGTAGGTCACTTTAGATTTTAAAAAGATATGGAAAACTGGATGATAAAATTAAGAATTTCTATTCATCAAAAAATACTAATGAGTACAAATACAGTACTTGGAGTGGGAAAAGATATTCATTATAGTCTATCTTAAAAATTCTACCCTCATGCTCATTTTGGCCACATATGCACTAAAACTGGAACAATACAGAGAAGATTAGCATGACCTCTGTGTAAAGATGACACACAAATTCAGAAAGCATTCCATATTTTTGCAAGTTTCTAAGGGAGAAAATCTTAAAAGTTCTCATCACAAGAAAAATTTTAATTCTGTAACTATGCATGGTGATGAATGTTTAAAAAAACTATCATGAATATATAAAAACTTCTCTAGATCAATAAGAAAAGAACACACAAATCTAGTACAAAATGGGTAAAAATTACTAAACAAACACTTTACAAAAGAGGATATCTAAAAAGCCAATGAGTATATGAGAAATACAGCTTCATCAATCATCACAGACAGGTAAGTTAAAACCACGAATAGATTTCACTACACACCTATCATCATCATGAAAAGGAAAACAAGGGCACCTGGGTGGCTCAGTTGGTTAAGTGTCTAACTTCAGTTTGGGTCATGATCTCACAGCTGGTGGGTTTGAGCCCTGCATTAGGCTCTGTGCTGACAGACCAGAGCCTGGAGTCTCCTTCAGATTCTCTGTCTCCCTCTCTTTCTACCCCTCCCCCGATTGTACTTTGTCTTTCTCTCTCTCAAAAATGAGTAAACATTAAAAAAAATTTTAATTAAAAAAAAAGAAAAGGAAAACAATGGGAAATAAGTGTTAATCAGAATGCAGAGGCAATTAGAATGCTCATTTACTACTGTTAGATTAGTACAACCACTTTGTAAAACTGACAGTATCTGTTAAAGCTGCCTATGCTGAGAGGAAAGAGTTAAAACAACTGGGTTTTGATCCAATCTCTACACCAAGAAAACATCCTTGAGAGAAAGGCTGTTGGGGTCATCCCAAGTTTAATCTTCTTCATAAATGGACTTATAGATAACTGGACTAATGATATTTGCCAGGAGGAAGTGACCTTATCCCTGAAACCCTCTTGTCAGGAAGTTCTGGTTAAGGATTACCTATAAAAAAAGAACCCAGGGTCCAAGAAATGGCCCTCTGGAGGATTTCCCCTAAGCTACACAGCTCTCTGGCTTCACAATTTAAATGCTTCTGCTGTGTGAAGTGACTTTTCAGATGTAACTTAGAGATCTTATCTATTATTCTGAGCCACATGTTGGACAAAAAAAAAAAAAAAAAGACAGGTCCTGGGAAACTACCCTTATTGCCCTAAATGTCTCTCTGCTCTTTCTGAAATTGTAAATTGCTTTCAAATTGAAATTATTTAATAAAGTTTGCTAAGGGATAAAATATCTGTAATTCATGTAGGTCTCATTTGATAATTCCATCCTGTGTGTTAGCTTATACAATTAGACCAAATAATCCCACTCATGGGTGAATGCCAAATAGAAATCATTCACATGTTCAGCTAAGAATAAGAACTGTTATATTCATCACAGCACTATTCTTAATGGCCACAAACTGGAGAATATCAAAATGCTTGTAAAGAAGAATAGACAAATTGCAGTATGTTCACACAATGGAATGCTATTCAGCAATTTATAACTTCAACTACATCAATTAGTATGGATGCAACTCAGAAACATAATGTTGATTGAATTAATCCAGACTAAAGGGTATGGTATGTTTCTAAAAGAGCAAAAACAGGCAAAATTTATCTGAGCTGTTATAAGTCAGGTAATATTATTCTTGGGGGCAGGTAATACCAAAGGAGAGAGCATGAGGGGAATTCTGTTTCTTGATCTAGGTGTTGGTAAGGCCAGTTTGTAAAAATGTATTGAGCTATACCCTTATGATATGTGAACTAGAGGAATATAGGACTCACTGGTGGGAGGAATGCTCATAAATGGGTCTTTGAGGGATAAGATGGATAAGAAAAGTTTTTAGGAAGTTTCACTGGATATTGATCATAGATTTCTCCCATTGCTCCCTCTTCAAGAAACTTCTGAAGAGACTTATTTTACTGTCGATGGCTTTAAAGCCAATTATTTATCTATTCAGTATTACAAAATGTGGAGATGACTGATGAGATGGGAACAAGAGCATATTAGGATTAGCACTGAAAAGTAAAAAAATGACTGAAAAACATATATAAGTGAAAAACATTTTAGATATAGCAGGTCACCTAGTTGTTGATATTTGTAATATCAAATACCAACAAAATACCAAAGATTTTGGTTTTAAGAAAATATTCTTGGACAGAGTTTTAATAAAAGTTGATACTGTCATATTTTATTCCATATTGTATGCAAATATTAAACTTTAATTTTTAGTGTCTCCTAAGAATCTTCAAACATAATTGTTAATTTAATAATTCCAAATATATACTCCTACTTTCTGTAATAATGACAATGGTGATGATGATGATGATGATGATGATGATAATAATAACAAATATTCCTTAAGTCCTAATCTATAAGATATATGGCTAAACCCTCTAACACAAGAGTTCTTAATTCAGACTTCAGTAAAATTCAGGAATTCATAAATTTGAATGTGAATTACATATTTATTTTCACTAACCTTTAACTGAAATTTAACAATTCTTTCAACAGAAATTTAGCATTTCCTTCAATATAAATCTCAGATGTTTTCATCATACATTACACCTACAACTAATATCTTGAAATGATGGTTTATACTCATCACTACATTGAAATTGCATTATTAGACTTATCATCAGATCTTGTTATTTAATGTAAAAAGAATTACATATATTATTATATCTTTAATAATTGGATAACTCCATTTCAAAATGATTGGCTGGTTTCTACTATAATTCTATATATTTTATTTTATGGATTGGAAAAAAACTGTTATTTTCAATTGCACCAATGGATTCCATAGCAATAAACACTTAAGAGTCCATTTAAAATATCTAATTTAATTAATACTATCTTATGATATTAGTATTTTTATACTCATGTTAGAGTTAAAGGAAATGAAGCAAGGAAAGTTGAATGATGTTCCCAAGTTCACAAGGTCTGTAAATCCCAGGGCTAGAATTAGAAGCTAGATCATCTGGTTTTAGAGACTGTCCTTTCAACGACCAGCCTGTGTAGCCTGTTAGAAATTTAAATGGTAGCACAGTGGCTAACTGTTGTTTACAGAGGTTGTTAGTATATGCCTCAGGGTGTGTCATGAGAAGCAGGAGAGGCCAAACCTCAGGAAGAGTAGCCCTTTGTTGATAACTTAGTGTTCAACTTAAAATTTCATACTTCAGCAATTACTAACATATGTAAAAGAAAAAATCAATAGCAATGCAGATATAGGAGGGGACTTTAACACTCCACTTACATCAATGGACAGATCATGCAGAGAGAAAATCAACAAGGCAAAAGTCTCTTTGAATTATGTTGGACCAGATGGATCTGACATATATTCAGAATGTTCTAACCCATAACAGTGGAATACATATTTTTTCAATATGTATTGAAAACATGGAACAATATCCAGAAGAAATCACATGTTCAGCCAAAAATAAGACTCAAAAATTCAAAAAGACTAAAATTATATAATGCATCTTTTCTAACCACAATGATATGAAACTACCAATCAATCACAAGAAAATATCTGGAAAAAAATACTATTACATGGAAATATATAACATGGTACTAAACAATAAACAAAGAGGAAATTAGAAAAATAAATAAGAATGAAATGGTCCAAAATTTTTGGGATGCATCAAGCTGTTTGAAGTGGGAAGTTTATAGTAATATAGGTCTACCTCAAGAAGCAAGAAAAAATCTCAAATAAACAACCTAAACTTACAGCAAAATGAATTAGAAAAAGAAAAACAAACAAAACCACAAACCAGTAGATGAAAGGAAATAATAAAGATTAGAGCACAAATCAATGAAATAGAGACTTAAAAAGCCAATAGAACATATCAATGAAACCCAGAGCTGGTTCTCTGAAAATATCAACAAAGTTAATAAACCTTTAACCAGAGACATCTTAAAAAGAGAGAGAGAGAAAGAAGGAGAAAGGATTCAAGTAAATAAAATGATAAATTAAAAAGGAGAAATAACAGACACAACAGAAATATAAAGGATAATAAGAAAGTATAATTAAAAAATGATATGCCAACAAATTGGGCAACCCAGAAGAAATGGATAAATTCCTAGTTATAAATTCCTAGAAACATATAGCCTGCCAAAACTAAGTCAAAAACAAATGGGAAATTTAAACAGACCAATTACTAGCAATGGATTTGAGTCAGTAATAAAAAAATTCCCCTAAAAAACAAAAGTCTGAGACCATGTAGTTTCATAGGTGAATGTTACCAAACATGTAAAGAAGAGTTAACACCTATTCTTCTCAAACTATTCCAAAAATAGAGGAGGACAGAAAGCTTCCAAATCCATTATATGAGGCCAGCAATACCCTGACACGAAAAGAAAATATAGACATTGTAAAAAAAGAAAACTAAAGACCAATATTTCTCATGAACATAGATGCAAAAATCCTCAACAAAATATGAGCAAACCCAACCAACAATACATTAGATACAACATTTACCACAATGGAATGGTGGGACTTATTCCAGAGATGTAAGAGGGCTTAATGTTTCAAATCAATCAACATGAAACATCATATTGACAAGACAAAGGACAGAAACCAATGATGAGCTCACAGAAAATCATTTGACAAAGTACAACATCTATTCATGATTTAAAAAAAAAAAAAAAAAAAAAAACTCTCTCAACAAAGTAGAATTAGAGGGAACATACCTCAACACCATAAAGACCATCTATGAAAAACCCACCTAACATTATTCTCAATGGTGAAAAACTGACAGCTTTTCCCCTAAGATCACAAACAAGACAAAGATGTACAATCTCACAGCTTTTATTAGAGTCCTAGCCACAGCAGCCAGACAAGAAAAAGAAATAAAAGGCATCCAAAATGGTAAAGAAGAAGTAAAACTTTCACTATTTACACATGACATGATACTATATTAGAAAACATTAAAGATTCCACCAAAAACTACTAAAACTGACAAATGAATTAAGGTCAGAGGATACAAAATTAATAGACAGCAATTTGTTGCATTTCTATACACTAACAATGAAGTAAGCAGAAAGAGAAATTGAGAAGACAATCCCAACAACAACTACACCAAAAAGAA